GAAGAAAATAATCAAAATACTAAGCTTTCATGTTTCGGTTTCTTCGGTTCAGACAGAATCCTAAATCTCACGATGTTAATTCTGCCTTCCCTGTAACAAGGACTGGCCAAATTTACCAAGTCCTCCACATTAAGCTTTTGATCTGTAACGATGTTAGGGTTCACTTGCACATATACAATGCTTCCAAAACATGAATCTCCTTGTCTTCCTGGAAAAATCTTGTATTGTGCTGGTTTCTATCTTTTTAGCTTCATTTGTAATGTGGCCCATGAAATAAATGAGAAGTTTCAAAAAGAGAGACCCTATCTGTTGATAAGATTTAAACATCTCCAGCTATACTTGCCTATGTTTTTTGAGAAGACAGAAAAGGAACAGCTAGATGTAATAAAGTGTATTTATAATGGGACATGATGATCTACAAACAAGAGAGAGAGAGAGAGAACACAAACACATGCTATTTTTTGTTTTCTTCTCTTGTTAGGCAGCATAACGTATCAGGCTTTTCTTAAATAAAGTCTTGACTTCTATTATTTTTCTTAACCTGCATGTAGTAACTCTAAGAACAAAAGAAAAATAAGATCTTTCTGATATATTTTCCTTCAGAACATTTCTGGTTTCACCATAACTCACATACACTCCTGTAGTATTATCCCTTTTAAGCACTTTCTGACTTTTGAAGTGATTGATTGTTCTAAATGCACGCAATAATTCCCCAGCTAGTATATTTTACATGATTGTATTTCACACAGCATTTTAAGACATTAATCAAGTTTCCCAAGACATCATGACTTTGTAATTTATTCTCCTTTTGAAATTATAAAGCACTGGATGTATACCATAAAGGCAGCATTGTTTAATAACCAATAGTTGCTGAAAGTTAAGTTTCAGCCGTTGTGACCTAAAACCAGCTTTTGAATAACATCATGGGAGTCTGAGAGTGATTAGGTGTGATTGAGAAGATGCAAGGTGGGCTGAAGACCACAGACATGAGTTTCAAGAAATCTGCCACGTGTGCTGATTTTCAGATGCTGTGGCTGAGGCTGTCTTAAAGCTATAGTTTGTATCAGATCAGCTGAAAGCTTTCTTTGGGAGCAGACAAAGGCTAATAGGGAGGGGAAATTACATTATGCTCCATAAAGCAACAGTTACTAAAGGCCTTATTTTTACATTCTTCTTTCTGAGAATAACATTCATCTCATGCTTTCTTCCCTTTCTTAAACAAAACTTAATGATTCTTTTAAAATCCGGATATGAGCTCTTTCTTTTTCTCTATTTTGTTCCCCTATGCTTCCTTCATACCCTCCTTTATACAACTGTTTTTCATCTCTTTTCAAAGCAAACACTAACATGTCTTGTTATTTACTGTTTATCGGGCAGCATGCTGTTTACTGTCTTGGTCCTGGCCTCTGTTCAGCCTACTTTCTTATACAACCCAGTGTGGCACCACCCCCAGGGGGCTGGGCCCTCCCACAGCACTCAACAGTCTAGAAAATGCCTCATAGACATGCCAACAAGCCACGCTGATCTTCCCCAACTGAGATTCCCTCTTCCCTTCCCAGTGTGGTGTGTCAGGTTGACAACCAAAACTAACCACACCATGACTATTTATTAAATGCTGATAACCACTTCATGAATTGAAATGTGAAAAATAAATGAAGTGGCTAGACTAATAGAGCACACTGTGATGCTCAACAAAGACATTACATTTCCATGGGTCACTTTTGAGTGAATCCCTGAGAATACGTTTGACCCACTTGTCAATCACAATAACATTCGTGTTTACCCTGTTACAATTTGCATATCTGAATTCAAAGAGATGAGGTGCGTTGACCATGCAGCTGATACAGAATTGGGACTCAAAACCAGACCTCTTGCTTTCTAGTCTTATGTTCTAGTCTTATGTTCTATCTACCATGGTAAAGCTGCCTTCTTCACCTATACGTTCAGGAACAACCATGTGATTTATGCTGTTTTACTTGTACTAGTAATTGACACTTAAGGATTCCACTGTATACAAGAAGAAAAAAGGACAGTTGAATAGATACAGCCTTCAGATTGTTTTTTAATGTCAATCACTCCTTTCTATAAAAAGCAGTGGTTCAAGACATGATTAAATTATCAGGCTTTAATGTTTACCATTGCCTCACATTCAGTATTCTGAACGTGGTATAATGGTAAACATTATGTTTGTTAATTATCACGAGATGGCAAAATTACCCACTCTCAAAGGGCCAGCTGCTTCCAGGGCGGCTGGTATCCATGCTGCCAACTTTTCAAAACTATTTTAATTGGTAGTTTTCTGGATTTTGGGGGGGTTAGTAAATGTATGTGTAAACCTATTAACGTCATTCCATCTGTTATGATGAAATAATATCACTGAATCTTAGTGTAATCTTCTATTTCAAGGTTTTCAGGCTGTGACATGTTCTCATGAGACCAGGGTTCTAACAACATCTCAAATAGGCATATAAAATATGAACAAAAATGCACCAGAAATCCTCCCTAGGTTTTATATAATATGTCCCCCATAGTCTTATAATTTTGAATTGATATGCACAATAGATATGAAACTATTTGTTGCATTAGATATATACTTAATAGGAAGGCTTGAGGGCTTCAGATATAGTTCATAGATACAGTGCTTACTTAACATGTATCAGGCTGTAGACTTAATCCCTAGCACTGCAAAAATAAATACAAATAAAAAGATGATAGGTGGGTAAATAGATTACAGATTATAAAGGATAGTTAGGTGATAGAGGAAAGATAGAAGATAGATAGATATAGATAGATAGATAGATAGATAGATAGATAGATAGATAGATAGATGATAGATAGATAGATGGTAGATAGATGACAGATAAATGATACATAGATAGATGATAGGTATAGATATATAGATGATCAATAGATGACAGATTAGATAGGAGATAGATAGATAAGTAGATAGATGATAGATAGATGATAGATGATAGATAGATAGATAGATACATAGATGATAGATAGATAGACAGATGATAGACAGAGAGATAGATAGATAGATAGATAGATAGAGATAGATAGATAGATAGATAGATAGATAGATAGATAGATAGATAGATGATAGACAGACAGACAGAGGGCAGCCCTGAGACCAAATACAATCTCTGTCCAAACTGCCAGCAGCTTTAAACAATAAGGCTTGACTACTTACAACTACTTTCATTTCCACAATGAGAATAGGTATCACAGGTATCAAAAGAATCCAATATAGTTAAGAATATTATACATTAATATATATTATGTACATTGTCATCAATACAATTACTACGTTTTATTACACACCAGCCTGTGGGCAGGCTCAGTGTTCATCATCTCATTTGCTCTTACCTAAAGCCATCATAGCAGACATTACCATTGTTTCCAGTTTAAAGAATGTGGAGGTTTAGAGGGGAAAGAAAATACCCACAGTTACAAAATCAGGAAATGGAAGATGCAACAATTGAACTTAGATTATTTTTTATTTCCACTGACCAAATATTTGCTGAATAATGTGTCACCTGAACAAAAAATAAACACTGGAAGAAGAAAACAGGGAATAAAATTTGGGCAAGGTACCAACTGTGATCAGTTTGCCTTGGCTACTGTGGAGAGAAAGGATTCGACCACAGCAAGAGAAGACCAAGGAGATTAGGTAGACGGTTGTGGAAGTCACTGGGTGAAAGGTGATGCTACCTCACTCAGGTGGTATCAGGGCAAATGAAGACACTTGGATAGATTTTACACATGTTCTGCAGGTACATCTAAATGTGTGGTGACGTGGGAAGGAGGAGCCAGACAAGGCAGCCCTTCACTTTTGACTCTGAGGTCACCTGAAATGGGAAATATTAAGAGGGATGGGCAAATTGATGAACTCTTTCTAGCCTGAATACCATGCTTTTAGCCATCATTAATATTATCACTGAATATTATCATAAAAATAAAAGGGAATTTGAAATCCATGCTCCATAACTGTAAAGTAGCTGGAAAGCTTTATAAAAAGTCGAATTATCCCTTTCCATGTATAACTGGGAAAAGAAAAGTTTAGCATAAATCTTATGGATTTTTTTTGTTTATTTATTTAATTTTTTATTTTTATGTGTATGCATGTATTGCCTGCATGTAGACAAGTGCACCCGTGTCGTTCAATGCCCACAGAGGACAGAAGAGGCTATTGGGTCCCCTGGAACTGGAGTTACAGACAGTTGTTAGCTGCCATGTGGGAGCTGGGATTTGAACCCAGGTCTTCTGAAAGAACAGCCAGTGTTCTTAACTGCTGAGCCATCTCTCCAGCCCATAAATCTTAGTTTTTAAAGCAACTCTCTGAGACAGGAATGTCTGAAAATCTTTGGGGGCTTCATTAATTCTAAGCTTCAATATTCATAATATTGTGAAATGAATTCAGAGGAAAAGACATCGAAGATAATTTGCCAACACGTTAAACAGGTTCAGTTTAGATGACTGCCTTACATATATATTTTTTTCTTCCTACATTTTTATATTTTTCAGATTTCCTAAAATAATTTCACAAAACTTTTGTACCTAGTGAATTAAGAATTAGGAAAAGTTAAAATTTCCCTTTTTGCATCTTTATAGCCTATCATAGTAATGTCTGAGAACTCTTTAAATCATCACTTTGAGTCCAGGCCACTTAATCAGTCAAAATAATGATATAATTGACAGATATCTCAAAATGCATGTCCTTCTAACTATGCCATATATGGTACAGTGCTAGTCACACTGACAGTACTGGAGTGCAAGATGGAAACTGACTAGTCTTGTGGTTAGCATAAGCAATGCCACAAAGCCTGAATTTAAGCTTAACTTAATTACTTACTTTGTACAAGGTGAGGATTCTTCCAAAGTTGAACATTTTTAAATATATTCTTTACTTCCCATCATGTTAAGGTTAAATAATTGTAATATATTCCTCAGTACATGTTCCTACCTACTGCTGAATCTTGCCTCTTCCTCCCTTGCAGGGTCAATGATTGTATCTTGCGGGTGAACGAGGTTGATGTGTCAGAGGTCTCCCACAGTAAAGCAGTGGAAGCCCTCAAAGAAGCTGGGTCCATTGTGAGGCTGTATGTGCGTAGAAGACGACCCATCCTGGAGACCGTTGTGGAAATCAAGCTGTTCAAAGGACCAAAAGGTAATAAAAGCATAAGAGAGTAATGACAAGGTCCAAAATTATTTGGCTAAAATTTATTCCATAATCTACCTTCAATGATCTCATTTTCTTACCAACAGATTTAAAATTAATTGCTTACCAACAGATTTAAGATTCCTTGATGATGGTTTTTATACGTAGTTAAGGAAGCCAGAACTCTAAGTATGAACTTACTTCAGAAAAGTATAAACTTATGTAGGTATGTCGAAATAATAATAACCATCACCTAACATTTTCTATATTTTTTAACTGATGTCATAACTTGGCCAGCATATTAACACAACTAACTTTCAGATATAAATAGTAAATTCTCTCAGCCAGAATAGTAATATAAGTAATAATTAAAATGATCTTTACTGGGGCAGGAGAGGTGACTCAATGGTTGACAATGTTTGCTGTTCTTCTAGAGGATCTGAATTCAGTTTCTAGTACCCTTACCAGGCAGCTCACAACCTCCTGTAACTCCAGCTCCAAAGGATCCAATGCCCACTTCTGGCATCCAGAGGCATCTGCACACATGTAGTATAGACATCCACACAAACACACCCACATGCACATAAATAAAAATAAAAATAATAAATCTTAAAAATAATAATCTTGAGACTGAAAAGATGGATCAACAGTTAGGAGAATTGGTTGTTCTTTAAGAGGACCCAGGTTCAGTTCCCAGAACCCAAATTGCAGCTAACAACTGCAGGAGATCCAACACCCTCTTCTCACCTCAGAAGGTATTGCATAACACAGGTGCACTTACATACAGGCAGACAATACATTCATACACATAATTTTTTTAAAAAAATTTAAGTACTCTTTATTGATAATAAGTTGTATTTTCTAATGTTATGATTTTTTATTTAATAATATTCTTATGTTATACCTGATAAATATTGTCTTCATTTGTACATGGAATAACCAAAGTAAGTTAAACTTGATTTTGAACTATTAACAGATCTCTAAAGGTTCTCATGGCTGCTATGAGGAGTTGTATAAAGAGTAAGATAAATCATCATACTACCTTTTAATAATTATAATACTGTGCTGGAGAGCTTTAGTGTCAACTTGATACACCTGGGTTGAGGGAGCCTCAACTGGGGAATTGCCTTCATAGGACTGGCCTGTGGCCATGTCTGTGGGGGCATCTTCTTGATTGATGAGTGATGTGGGAGGGCCCAGCCCATTGTGGGTGGTGCTACCCCTGGGCAGGTGGGCCTGTGTTGTATAAGAAAGCATGCACACAGGGGCCAGTGGAGCAAGCCATTAAGCAGTGGTCCTCTGTGGCCTGTGCTCTAGCTCCTGCTTCCAGGTTCTTGCCCTGAGTTCCTACCTTGAGCTCCCTGATGAATGGTGACTGGGAGATGTAACCTGAATAAACACTTTCCTCCCCAGTTTGGTAGTGGTCAGAATATTTTGTCACAGTAATAGAGAAACAATTTATAGAATAAACACTTTGGATACTTTTTTTTTCAGAATAATGGCATTTAAGACTACCTGAATAGTATTTCAAATAATTTAGAAATTTTTAATTAGCTTAACAGAATTAATTGTTTTAGATTATAAGTGCATAATCACTCTACTCTTTGAGTAAAGTATTTCTCTTTTAAAATCTATTTTATTTCTAATGGTGCCTGTGTAATTTAAAAATAAACACGCCATCTTTATTGAAGACAATAGTGAGGGGCATTTCAAATCTCAGACACGAGAGTCAGGGAAAGCTGATTTAAATGTTCAGGCATTTACTATGTAATCACCTTGATTAAACCCATAGACTTTATGAGGCTTAAACATCTTTAAAGGATTTGCTCACAATGGTTAGGGGTACAGATTCCTGGTCAAAACCTGTAGAAGGAACCAGCGCTGCCCCTCACTAGTTGTTCCAAAACGTTTCAACTCGACCTTAATTTTCTCACTTATATAACAAATAAGAATAGGGCTTGTTCTTAGACATGTTATAAGGATTTGTTTAGTCAGTTCATGTATTTAGAATAAATTCTGGCACAAATTGACCACTCAGGAAACATTAGCTTTGTATGCAGGTTATTTGAAGTATTATTTACTAAACATGGCAACAATTTTGTAGCAGTGAAATGAAAATACTTAGAGGCCCCTCATGAATCAAGTTCAGGTACATTAAAATCAAAGTATGAAAGAAAGTCTATCCTATCGATTTGCTAAAATCATACAGGCAAGGTGCTTTCTAAGGCCAAACAAATGGAGCATACATATTTTTTTCTATTAAAATATTTTCCATATTAAATGACATTTAGTGATTCCTACAATTCAGTGATTATTCATCATATCCCTAAGCAAAAGCTAATTTAAGCCACCAGAAAAATACTGCCTTTATTTTCCCGGCTTCCTGCTCTGAGTCACTCAATGGCCTCCAGCTGCTCAGCAAAACACTTAAAGGCTGTAGGGAGCTGAAGACCAAACATCCTTAATTTTACCAGGAACTTTTGCTGGCTCTTTATTTTGACATTAGGCCCCTCCAGCTGGTTTACTGCATACTGAACTACTCTCTTCTTTGAGTGTGTCCTGGAACAGGAATGCCTTGCCACATGAACAAGAGAAATGAGGAGTCAATGCTAATCAACCAGGTATAAAGGCAGCAACACAATGAACACACATAATGCAGGGGTGATGATCTCCTGAGCCAAGGAAAACTAGGAAATCCTTTGAATAACTTTATGTCCTGAGTGTGGGCTCCTCCCATGTCCCTACAATGCCTTTTGGGGATTGTGTGGAGTCGGTTGTACTTTTTGTACTGACATTTTTGTGTAGATCTGATGAGAATGTTTCTCTGTGTGAAGCTTGTTGATTTACAAGGAAAGAAAGTGTTCAGTCATTGCCTTAACTCAGGAAGTGTAATTCGAATAACTTAATTAAATTCTATACTTAAATTCTATATTTTAGTACCTTATAATTCTTAATTTTAAGTTTATAGTATACTTGAAAGAAAATTCCACCCATGTCTAACTTGTATCAGGAAAATTTTAATGCACTATGGGTGATGAGGATAAATTAGGTGTGATCTTTTTCCTCAAAAAGTTCTACAAATGCTTGACTGGATAGGACTTAACATATATGACAGAATGCATTAAATCCAGTGGGGAAGGGTTATGGAGGGACAAGGATGAGAAGGGCATCAAAAATTGATTAAGACCTATTATGTGAAATGCACAAAACTCAATAAAAATATTTAAGAAACAAGTTCTAATGAGAAAGATGGATGTAAAGTCAACTAATTTTAAAACAAGGCAAAATGACATTGTTCTGTGATGGAGCTTGAGCTGTTAATTTAATGGAGGGAAAAGAACTATGTGATTCATTTTAACTAAAAGATTCAAAATGCTTCTGAGAATTTAAAATAGTACATGTGAATGCAATTCCATATCTGGTCTGCTTTGATCCTGGGTCAGCTTCTAAAACCCATGGCTCTATCAGCAGCTCCCATTATCAGTGGCCTCCAGAGGTTTTTCCTTGTCTCTAGGTAAAAATCTAAATTTCTCACCACAGAGTTTTCTAGCTCTTATGCTCTGCCTCTCCTCTAGCCCTCAATCTTGACTTTAGCCTTTTTTGCTTTGTTCTCCATTCCTGTATTTCCTGGCCTGGGGAAATCAGACTAAGGAACATTTTTTTAAACATATGTCATATCCTTCCCTCAGAGCCTTTGCTCTTCCCTTTGGCACCTTTGGGGTGACTTCCCTTCTGTCTTGACCATTGTCTGTATCTGCTTCCCAAGAGCCAAGTCAGTGATGCTTTGCCATAAAGTTGGCACTAGTTGATACAATCAGAAGCAATCTTCTTGTAAAGAGCTTTATTCTTTTCCATCCGTCCTCATGTTACCAGGCCTTTCAGAGAACCCATAATACAGAAAAAGGACAGGTCATAGCAATTCAAATAAGCAAGCTTTTAACTCTAATAACTAACAAACTGAGTTTTTGATCTCTGCCCTGGCCTGTGCTGTGTTTGAAGGACCTTTAGCAAACACTTAAAAGGAAAGTAAAAGACAGGCAGGATTTGTGGCTAGACTCTGGGTAGTAAACCCTAGGAACTGGGAAAGAGCGATAAGATAGGAGTCAAGACCATTTCTGTAGTGCGGCAAGAGGGAAACGAAGCCCCCGAGATGCAAGCTTGTGCAGAAGCCCCCGCCCCATAAGAGGAGAGAGCACTTGCTCTGACACTCTGGTACACAAATAAATAAATAAATAAATAAAATGTTTAACAAGAAATTGGAGGAAAATAATGTTTAGAGTCTGGAGCATATTGCCTAATAGTCTAATAGTCCACTTAATCAAAAGCTAGTTTCTACCACTTGTCAATTTGGATGAGGGACAGTTCACTGAATCCCACCTCAAGATGAAGAGCTACAGGCAATCATGGCTATTGCAAATAAATAAATAAATAAATAAATAAAATGTTTAACAAGAAATTGGAGGAAAATAATGTTTAGAGTCTGGAGCATATTGCCTAATAGTCTAATAGTCCACTTAATCAAAAGCTAGTTTCTACCACTTGTCAATTTGGATGAGGGACAGTTCACTGAATCCCACCTCAAGATGAAGAGCTACAGGCAATCATGGCTATTGAAGGAGGGTGAATTATTTTTCTCTGGGGACTAGATCCCTGAGAGGTTACCTAATCCCAAGTGGGCAGCCCTAAGCACAAGTACACAGCAACACCACTAAATGGACTCAGGGCATTATATATGTGTGTGTGTTTTTAAAAGTATGTTATGTATATATAACAATAATCAAAGAAGAAGACAAGAAGTTGTGAGGGAGGGGAACATGGAAAGAGTTTCAGGAGGACTTGGAGAGGTGGAAAAAATGCAAAAATAATAAAATATAATGTTCCTATATGAAATTCGCAAAAATAAAAAATAAAAATAACTTCTAAATTTAAGAGAAGGATTATTTATTAAATATTTTTCATAGTCTACATGTCGTATTTGTCATCCAGTTTGGTTAAAGATCAATTTGTCA